CACTGTCCTCAGGTATCGCTTGTATTTGGAGGTGATTAGGTTGGAAATTTCTTTCGATCTAGGCAGTGTTGCCCAATGATGGAACAGTATGGGTGAAAAAAAAACCGTAGATCTGATCAGTAGATTTTAATACAGGGGAAAATAATTATAATTTGCAGTGTAGTAAATAAAAAAACAAGTATATAAGAAACGAAAAATAAACTTTTTTCTACTCAAATTAGAAAGTAAACAAAGAATAAAAACAAATAATAACATTTTTAATATATACTTAACGTACGGAAACAAAAAACCAATGAAAAATAATAGGTACCTACTTCTTTTAGATCAGTCTGAATCAGATAATTCAAAATCGTAGTATTTAGCATATGCATGTTCTTTTTATGATGCCCTATTAATTCTTTGTTTCATTTTAAATAAAAACATAATGAATATCTTGATGTTTTTTTTTATGGAGCCAACCTACAGTAATGGATGCTTATTACGCTGCTTTTACCTTAGCAAATTTACTAGAGAAAATATTATTTAACCATTTGCTGAAGAATGAGGCAAACTTAATAAATTAAAAACAAATTTTCTAGAGACAAAAACAGTGGATCTACGTAAAAACTGTACGTCTGGCAACGCTGATCGTTCCCTCGAATTGTTATCTGCGGTGTCGTGCAACCCGTCTCCAAGCTTCTCAAATGGACGGAGCGTAACATTTATGCATCTGTCGTCCTTGGGGTCGCCTCGGTGATCTCCTGTCTCCTTACGCGCCTACCGAAATGGTACCTTTAGACGACGAAAAGCGGGTCGCTCTGAAATCCTTTAGTGCTGCTACTTCTACTGATTTTTTGGTAGACCTACCGAAGAAAATTTTCTACCGATTTTCATTCTCTAGTATGTTTTAGTACGTTTGGCACAACTTCTGGCTTTCTCCATACAAGACAGTATTTAGGATCAAACAAGTGTTATAACTAAATCAGCACAATTTGTTAAAAATGAATGACCATGATTTAAAAACTTCGCAGCCACAGTAAATCCATATTTTTTTAAAGGTAAATAATGTTTTATTAATTTTTAATAATATAATTTTTTTAACAATATTTTTTTTTAAGTTTTAATCTTCTTTTTTCTTTATATCTAAGTAGATATTTATCTAATGATGATTTAATTCAAAATACGTGACCCAAATTAATTTTAGCAACTAAAACGCAATAAAACGGAACCAAGTACGTTACTAGCCGCCATATTTGACAAAGTTTGATAGCATCTCAAAACAAAGAAGAATTCTTTTAGTCGTTTTTTTAATTAGTTCCTGTTTTTCTATGTTCTTGTTTTTTTTTATTTCTTAACAATCGACTATTGTTCTTTCGATAAAACAATATTTTTAGCACGTTTTACTAAATCACATCTTGACTATAATTCTACCGATGTCTACCGAAAACAAAATTTTGGTAGTGGCAATACTGTGAGTAGGAGAGTGATGGAGCACTAACTCTCAACTCTCACGAGTTAGTGAATAGCTATCCTGAGCGCAACTATATTGCCTGGCAAGTGCTTACTGAACAGTGATTTGGAAACATAATTTAAAAATCCATTCATTTCATTTTTAACATGCTAAATGCACAAAAACTTGATGAGGTACGGACCTTCCCAAGACCGTCGAAGCTTTGGAGAATAACTGAATAACTCTTTTGTCTTTTTGGGTTATAAGGCCAGACTTTGTCGCCTTCCTTGAAACGTCCTTCTGTTGCTTGGGTATTGTATGTTCAATTCATGCATATCGTCCATTCTTCTTCGTAACTGGATTACATAATTCTCACCAGCTACATCTTCTCCAGGTCGGCATCCAAACTCGAGGTCGCACGGTAGTCTCATCTCACACCTAAACAGGACCGTTACTGGTGTTTGGCCTATTGATTCATTGACAGCGGATCTATAAGCCATTGCAAAAAGCGAAGGATACTGATCCCAATCTCGCTGATGGTTTGAAACTACTTTTGACAAATATTTGCCAATAGTCTTATTCATTCGTTCTACCATTCCATCGGATTGTGGGTGCAATGCTGTGGTTCTGGTTTTCTTCATGCCTAGTCTGTCACAGATTCCACGGAAGAGTTGGCTTTCAAAATTTCTGCCTTGGTCACTGTGGATCTTCAAGGGCACTTCAAATCGACAGATAAACTCTTTTATCAATATGTGTGCAACAGTTGCGGCCTCTTGATTTGGAATGGCGTAGACTTCCACCCACTTCGTGAAATAATCCATAACCACCATTATGTATTTATTACCATTCTCGGTCGTGAGGAATGGTCCAGTAATATCTAAGGCGATCCTCTCAAATGGGCTACCAACGTTGTATTGCTTCATGGGAGCCTTCCTTTTTCGCTGAGGTCCATTACTCATAGCACAGCTGAAGGGTTTTCTTAACTCCGAGATGTCCTCCTGATGGACTGTCGTGTAACTGACGAAGTACTTCGGATACTCTACTCCTTGGAATAACCAACTGTCTTTTATTCTCGGAACCATCATCATTTTCAACTACTCGCTTTAATAAGCCGTCTTCCAGAATAAAAGTGTCTCACTGAGCCCAATATGATTTAACTACTGCAGAGAGTTTCGATACTTCTTGCCAAGTAGGTCGAGGATTTTCCTCTTTCCATTCTCTTATCTTCTTTAAAACGGGATCGTTCTCTTGTTCTTTCCTAAGTTTGACGGGGGTGTCCACTCATCGCTGACAACCGACGTTCTTCGTACTGTAACTTTTTTAACAGATGTGGCCAACCCCTTTCCAATCAGAGTTCCTTGACCAACACCTTCATTGCGCTTCGAAGGTTCCGCCATGACAGGCGTTGCCTTCTCTACAGTTCCTTGCAACCGCCTTACTCTTATGGTTTCACTACTTTCAGGTAACACCGTTCCTTCCTGTACAGCCACCGACGCGGTTTTTCTTTGGACGTTTGCGTGAACTGCTTACTTTTCCCATTTCACCGCAATTCCAGCACCTAATAGCCTTCGGTTGCTTCTCAATAAGGTTTTTTATTTGAAATTTTAAACAATTAGTCCAATTTACTTCCCTGTTCTTCTTCTTGTAGTCTTTACTTCACTGTATCCACCAGAAGCCAGCGTAGCCGCTTCATATTCAAGAGCAGTGGACAAAAAATCGACCAATGTTTTGTGACGGGCTAAACGAAGTGTTCTTTGCATTTCATGGTCACGAAGTCCATCTACAAATACTTGAACAGCCAAACATTCAATCATGTATTCTGGAGCTGATGGGTAGGCAAATCGCACCATCTTCGCAATATCTATAATTTATTTATAGTTTATTTATTTAAAACACACTATTTACAATTTATTTATGACGTACTATTTAATTTATATAATACTTAGACACTAACTAACAATTCTAATTTATTTATTACACTTTAACTTTTCATTACAATGCTCTATATTAAACTAAACTGTGCGCCGATGAGTAGGACTATTTATACCAAGTCCAACTCTGCTACGAGAAGTCTCTAGACGCTCCCGAAAATTCCATCTCGGACTCAACGGCACTCTCCGCCCGTTCTAGCCGTTTCTAATGCATCAGCGGCATTTCGTCATTTCGAGCATGAATCGGGTGCCAAGTTGCTTTAGACAAGGTCGGGCTTTAGGAATTTCATGACAGTAAATATTTTTTTTTGTAAATACCTACATTCTAAATTTTTAAAATACAAGTTTCGCCAAAACCATGAGAATAATCGTCACAATAAAAACTGTCAACAAACCAAATTTTAGCAGAATCGCATAAGTCGTTTTAAATTTATAATGGAGAAACGATTTAAAAATTATAACTTCGGAGACGTCTAGTCTAGCGCCCAAACTTAGCAACTTTGTCGATTTACGAAAACTACCTCAATTTACTTATTGGCTTGTTTTAAGAAAAATATGGTGTTTTTGCACAGCTTACCATAATAGTAAGCTAAGGTTTTTGTATAGACCCCGTATATTTTATACGAATATTTTACTATTTTCTTGTAACGAACTGAAACTCTTACAGCCGTATGCATAGTCGATCGCCAGCGACTCGCCAGAGATTCATTTCGGCGCATTGCCAGCGATATGCCGAAAAGGTGGCGACTCGCTGGAGATTGTCACCGGCATGTCATTTCACGCAAGTTTTCATGTTCTTTTAAAGGAAAAAATTTGATATTCGTTCATTGTTTTTTGAGTTTTAAGAAATGAATCAATAATAAAATGCGAGAGATGCCGGTGATAATCCCTATAAAAGAACATGAAAACTTGCGAGAAATGATATGTCGGTGACAATCGCCAGCGGGTTGCCACCTTTTCGGGCTTTCGCCAGCGGATCGCCAGCGAGTCGCTGGCGATACGCCGGAATGAATCTCTGGCGAATCGCTGGCGATCGACTATGCATACGGGTGTTAGTCATACTTAGACTAGAGAGCAGGAGGCGATTCGGCATACCCGAAATACGGTCCCAAAAAACGAACGGTAATTGAGCTTCTACAATTCACCGCAGGGACACTGGTGTTGCTAGTGATCTTTACATAATTTTGTGAAAATAATAAAAATTAACGTGTTTATGGCTAAATAAAATTCAGAAAATACTATTGTATTTATTTCTAAAAAAGTCTTGCATGTTTTAATTGATAAATTATTTAATTTTATCTACATGAAATGCAAATTTTATATTAAAAAAATTTGTAATAAATAAACATAAGTTACGGGTTGTGACTAATTTACAACAAATAACTTATTTATAATAAATACAATAGATTACTTACACTAGGAGCTTTAAAATACTTTGATTGATTTCTCCTTGTGTTTTCCTTAGTTTTACATGTGATTTATATTCCATTTTACAGCCTGGAACTAAGTAAATCTTGCTTTGATGTTCTTTGACGCTCATGTTACTTGTACTTTTTCACATTGATTTGATACTTTTCACAAATATAAAAAAACACTTTCAGATTGACTTACATAGAAAATTAATGTCACTTACGTACGACCCGCTAACTACAGTCAATTTGGCGAACTATATAAAAATAAGGATGGAAAATTCAAATTTGACCGTTGCCGATTCGCCTCCTTCCCTTCTTCATAGTCATACTGTATGAAAATTACAAAATCTTTGGTCAGGAACATCAAATCATTTTTTTGTACTTACTTCTTCACTTAAAATTACAATATTATAAGCATTTAAATAATTTGTTTATTTTAGTTGTTTTATATATTACGTACTAAAATAAAAGGACTAAAATAACAATATCTTCGTGTTGAAAAACATTTTTGGACAAAACTATTATACCTATGTTTAACAATCGGAAACTCACTATTTGAAAGTATTATGATTTTGGTTTTGTGTTTTTTATATTATTTTTTGTATTTTCAAGTTTCTTTCCAGTATTTCTTTTTTTATCTTTTTTTTTTAATGTATCACTAAAATCAGCTTCATCGTACTGACAATCGATATGATTAACTTCTAATGTTTTCTTCTTTTTTGATTTTATAATAGGAGCTGGTGCAGTAAATTCTATATCTACTTCGCTGCCGGAACTAGAATCTATTAGATCAGTGCGGTTTTTAGTAATTTTCCATTGCATAGGTTTACACTTTATATATGGACTTTCGTTTTCTCCAAGATTAGATAAATCTTTCAAAGGCTTCATAGTAACATGGTAATCTCCAGATCTCTTCTGGACATGGCATGTTGGAGCTGAAGTAAAGTTAGCTTCATCTGTAGATTTAATCCTTCTCATTGCTCTTAATTATAAATGTATATGTGGTTATATCAGTTAATAGTTGCTTACAATTAAAAATAGTTTTGTTTAAATTACCAGAAATTTTGTATTAAGTCGAAAAAGTGGTGACAGAATTTTTGTGACTTGTAATTTTTTGATTACTGATTAATGATTTTTGTGGTTTTTTTTTGTGTGTCATCGGCTTCAACTGCTAAGGTTATTTCGGCCAACGGTGGGATTCGAACCTGGGACCTTCCGATCTCAAAGTCATGACTATGAGTCATGACTATGAGTCATGACTCTAACCACTGAGCCAACCCACCCCCTGGATTTTTGTGGTGATTTTTGTCATCTGACACAAACTTCTTTTGATATCCAAATTGGATCTGTGACTATCAAGAGAAACGAGCCAAATTTTTAAAATCAGTTTTTAGGATTTTGCTTTAAAATTAGTAAATAAATATTGCGAAATGAAAAGAAAGTAAATTTTGTGTAAAGTAGAAAAAGTGATGTTGGATAATTACAACTATGAAATTTTGCGTAAAGTTGAAAAAGTAATGTTTACAACTATTAAAACAAAAAAGGTAAATAAATGGTTTAAGAGGGTTCTATTCTATAACCATCAGCTCGATTAATTTTTTTTCAGGTAAGAACCTGTAACCCATTGATTAAACAGGTAACAACTGCCTGTGATGAAGCTTCTTTAGCTCTTCCTAAACCTTCTATTTGTCAACAAAGTTATTCAAACATATTATAGAGTCAGAAGAGGACCTTCCTGATTGCCCTCTTAAAAAGAAGCTCAAAAGACAAATCCAAAATTTGGAATCACAGAATAAAGTCGAGATTATTAAATTAGAGAAATAACAGCAAACCGTATGGAGACATCGGAAAGTCGTCAAATATTTAAAGAGGATAATGCTGGAACTCTAGAAAAAGAATTGCTTAAAGAGGAAGAAAAAAATGTTGTTTCAGAAAATTCTGGAAATAAAGAAATTGTTTAATGACTCTTTAGGAAAACCTTGGGCAAGACTGTAACTAAGACATTCATCAAAATCTTTTGTAATTACACAACATTTTATTTCCATTAATCCAATATCATCAAAGAAAGTAATTGACTAGGTTAAAATTTGGAAAATAATTAATAATAATGTAAAAATCTTGAAATATAATTATCCACTTTTAAAATGACTTTGTTGTACTAATTTTTTAATCTAATAAAAATATTACACTTTCAAACAATACAAATATGATATAGTACTAATGTCAAGCTCGATTTTAAGTAGCCATCTTGGATAACCATCCCCATTATCTGACCTTGGCGTAACCATCCTTCCTCACTATCTACTTTATATTCTAAGGCACGATACACAAATACCGGTATGCTACTATACTCTGTTTTTAAACTAGGAGGATTGAAAAGACATATTTTCACAGGGAAAAGTAACTATATTTGTTACTAAGAGCGAGTTTCGAAATATAAGTCGTGTTCAAAATTTATGAAATAGTTATCTTTATCGGCCTTAGTCGGTGAATGGCCAATGAGCGGTTAAGAAACGAATAAATGTCATAGACGTAATTTTTTATTGGTTCGAGATGACACTGTCAAATAAAATTCAATATGGTTGTTGATTGATGTCAGAAATACTTTTTCTTGCTTTTGAAATCGACTTTTTGAGAATAACTATGATCTTTTTAAAATGGATATTAAATATTTAAGAAAATTGTTAATAGAATATCCAGATGTAGCCAGGTTAGTATAAAATATAAAAATCTGGTCTGTTTACATTTTTAAGGATATATTTGTTATAGGTTTAAAAAGTAAAAAGTTAATCAGTGAATGACAAGTGGATCACACAGTAACTGGTATCTCTCCTATGAGTAATGTGGATATTATGGCTTATTTAGTGTTAACCCATGGTTAATACGCTAAAGGGCAAATAAAGGCATTCAAAAGTTTACAGGCCTATGAGTCAGAATTAGTTTTAAAAACTGGAACCAACATTTTCATAACATTACATGTCAACACATATTTTTTAATTTAAAGTGAACTATTCATACATACCTATGTATTAATTTTAAGTATTTTTTAAATATTTCTTGTGAAAGTAATGTGTCATTGTGCTAAATTAAGATTATCCCTAAAGTAGTAGATGGTGTTTTAAATGTTATAACAATTTTGTAAATGGTTTTATTATATTCTAATAAATAAAATTAACTTGAATATTTAGTTACATTTTAATCATTTTGGTTAGAAATTCATCAATTTTTAGTTTTAAAAAATCACTAATAAAGTAATTAGTTTTTTCTAAAATACTTCAGAATTCATCTCTTCATAGTAATCTCCTACCTTTTTACCTTCAAAACCCAATAATGCATTTTCTACAAAACCTTCTTCAGAATCAGCATGTAAAATAATAAGGTGTCTTCCCTTTCTTGTAGGGCTTTTCTGGAATTGCTATCCTTAATAGTACTCAGTGTAGAAGGATCCATAATTATTGTAGATTTTCAATACAATTGCTTACTGAAGAACTATTATTTACGAAATAAAGTAAAAAACTAAGTAATGAGATATCAAATCATAAAATGTCAGAACTGTCAACAATATCAATTATTAGCTGATTTTCATGATGAAAAGTAATGTGTGAAACTTACTGCAATCTGACCAATCAGAAGTCTACAGAATTGCCATTGACGTAACGTGGCATCAAGCAAACAGTATTTGATTGACGTTTGAATAAGAATTATTTTTTAATCCCGTTTTATTTATAATTATAATAGTTATTTATGTATCAAGGGCGTCTATGAACCGAAACGTGTGAGTAAGAGCCCGAGCCACTAGGCGAGGGCTATTAACACGTAAGGTCCATAATTGAAGATATTTACACAATATAATTTGTTTACAAAATAAAAGTGTACGGTACTGGGAGGCCATGTACGGTAATTTAAAAAATGGAAATCACTCGTGATAGTCCAAGAGCCCGTGAGAGCCAGACCTTCGGAATTTTATAAAAGCTGAGAGTTCTTCTGTGTATGTCCCCAATACAGGTAAGAATGATCCCCGCCCATGAAACCTGAGTAGTGGTGGCTTTGGCAGGTAACAGGTAGCAAAGGTGCATAAAATTCCACCTCAAATTTATTAATTTATAAAACTAAATTTTTTTATATTTTATTCGTAATAATATTAAAACTCGAGTTGCTCATTGCCAGACACTTGATATGGTTACAACCCTCTGCCAGACACCCCTGAACTATTATAATTTGTAACTATACTTATAAAAGCTAAATTTTATATATATTATTTGGACAACTATTAAATAATGTTTCCTTAATAGCCAGACAATTTCGAGGGTTATATCGTCCTGCCAGACGTATTAAATATGTACAATAGTTATGAGTGAGAGGAGCATATGCAGCAACGGGTGTGAGTGAAATAGAGCGTGCAGTCTATTGCGATCTTTTACTGCGCATCAGCTGCTCATTGTGTATTATGTAGTGCGCGGTTATGCTCATAGTAAACGTACATCAAACGTATATTAAACGTTGAATTATTTTTCTGTGTAATTTATAAAATAAATGTGATCTAGTGTAAAAAAAGTGAAGAAGAAGTAAAAGTAGTTTGCTTTGTCTGTAAAAAAAGAATTTCGTCATGGTCGTACGTCCGTCAGTGATGAATGTCGAGAAGGTTGGCCAAAATCGGTTGTCATTCCGAGAAACATCGATGCTGTGCGCTACATGATTAAAGAAGATCGTCATGTGACTTACAGACAGATAGAGGCTCTTAGGATATCGCAGACTGCAATACAATCGATTTTGCATGAACATTTAGGTGTGAGAAAGATATGTTCCAAATGGATTCCGCAAAATTTGACCGAAGCGCAAACAAGGGTCGTGTTAATTGGTGTCACGAAATGTTGAAAGAATTCAACCAAGGACGTTCAAAATCCGTATACAACATTGTTACAGGAGACCAAACTTTGATATATTTTGATATATGCTGGACACGTCGCAACCATTCCATTAGAGGATCGAAGAACTGTTAATGCCGAATAGTATACAACAATTTGTTTGCCAATGGTCTTCGATGAAATAAGGAAAAAGAACAAAAAACGCCGCATCATTCTTCATCACGACAATGCCAGCTCACATAAATCACGTCAAACAACTGAATATTTGAAGGAGAAAAACATCGAATTAATGTCTCATTGTCCGTATTCACCCAATTTATCGCCTAATGACTTTTTTTGTTCCCCACTGCCAAACAAAAGATGCGCGGACAGCGATTTTCATCACCTCAAGAAGCTGTTGAAGACTTTAAAAACCATGTTTCTACGACATCAGCTTTAGAGTGAAAAAATTGTTTCCAGAATTGGTTTGAACGTATGCAAAAATGTATAGACCTTAAAGGCGAATATTTCTAAAAGCAATAAAACACTTTCACCTGTATGCATAGTCGATCGCCAGCGATTCGCTAGAGATTCATTTCGGCGTATCGCCAGCGATCCGCTGGCGAAAGCCCAAAAAGGTGGCGACTCGCTGGAGATTGTCACCGGCATGTCATCTGTCGCAAGTTTTCATGTTCTTTTATAGGGATTATCACCGGCATCTATCGCATTTTATTTATTATTCATTTCTCAAAACTCCAAAAACAATGAACGAATATCAAATTTTTCCCTATAAAAGAACATGAAAACTTGCGTGAAATGACATGCCGGTGAAAATCTCCGGCGAGTCGCCACCTTTTCGGGCGTTCGCCAGCGGATCGCTGGCGATACGCCGAAATGAATCTCTGGCGAGTCGCTGGCGATCGACTATGCATAGGGCTGTTTGTTTCGAACTTGTTCGTTTCTGTGTCACTTTTTATAAAAACTTAAAAGGCAACCCTCGTCTTTATCCATGTAGATTTTTATGCCACTTCACGGCATATCATGTGACAAGGATAGTGCATAATAACAACCTACGGTCTCAGGATTTTATATAAATTATTAAATATTTTTGGTAAAAAATAACTAACTATTCATTTTTGTACTTCAATCAAATATTTTATAAAATAAATATTTTTAAAATTGTTGAGAAAGAAATGTCGAATTTTTTTATTATTTAATTTAAATGAACACAAGTAGTTAGTTCAAATATTTTTGAGGGGGGTGGGTGGCTCAGTGGTAGAGTCTCTACCTGCGGATCCAAGGGTCCCATGTTCGAAT